ACAGGTTGAGAACCGCTGTATTAGGGGAACCTCTTCTGTGAAGCACATTAAGGAGCACGGACTCTTTTCGGAACACATTTATTTGTTTTCACATACAGTTGTGGGACTTGCACGGATTTGGAAAGGAGTTTTTTTCCTCCTGTTTCATCTCATATTTCACCAATGGCTTTTGTTTCACTGTTATTGGATTATATATATTTGTATTGTTTAGATTCTTTTGGAATCTTGTTGTTATGATGTAATTTATGTATTACCAGTTTCCTAATTTACACATAGGTCTTACACAATCTATACTATAGTATAGTTCTATAAATGTTTTGTTTGCATTTAGCACCTTTTAGTATGTTTAGATTCACAGGTTCCGTGTGCTGTATAAATTATTCTTCTGATGATTAAGGCTTCACAACCTTGATCTAGCAGTTTAGGCATTCACCTTGGTGTAAAATTGTTACTACTTGCTACTTTATTTTTTGGAGTTTTGCGGCTATAGCTAAAGTAAATTTTCACTTAGAAATAATAATTATTTTAATATCATTAAGTTTATGGACAAAATATGAACCAATGTTCTTTTTTTTTCAGTTACTGCAGAATGCTTTGAAAGGTATACAGTCTATATTAAATGGTAGCAAAATGTTATTGAAGGAAACGGATCAACTTGGATCGTTGCTTGCTGTGCTTAAGGTAATATATTATGTCTAATATACCTTAGTGCCATTTTACTAGATTTCAAGGCACACTGTTTTGACAGTTTAAAATATTTGATATACATTTATATAGATTCTGCTGCTTGTTTAAACCATGCTAGATGTCTGATTTTGCAGCCATGTTGTAGTATGTGTATAGTGGCATAGAACATAACACTTGGGGCTAGTTCATCCCAGCCCCAGTGCGTTCCGGCCCGATTGGTGCCCAGAACGCACTGGATCACATTCTGGCTGGCTCACTTTGTTTTGGGGTGATAAAGGACGTGGCAGTGCATTGAAGTCAATGGCACCGCAGCCATGCCTGCCGGCTGCAGTGCAGTCGCCCACACCAGAATGTGTGGCACATCATTGCCTGCATTCCGGTCCGAAAAAATAGTGCATGCAGCGTCGGGCCAGAATGCACTGGGGCTGGAGTGAACTAGCCCTTAGAGTTGAACTCCGGACATTACCCCTCCATCCTCAACTAACCACTATTTTTTATATTTTTTTTTAAATGACCTAAACTAAAAGCTGCTTTTTCTTGAAGTGATATTAAAGTCAAAAGGTTTTTAACTTATTTTAAATGCGGTTAAATCATTTACAGTGTATGCTGCTTCTTGATGTTTAAAAGTTTGTTTCCAGCAGAATCCGATGATCCCCTTAAGCATTCTCTGGGAATTGGTTTGGTGTTTACGTAATTAAAATAAGTAGGGAGGCACAGATACCAATTACTGTACTCGGTACAAGTACAGATACTTTTCCAGCTCCAAGACTAGACTAGAGAAAAATTAAACAGGAGGCATCTGTCATTTGTAAGGAGCACACGGAGCTCCTGGGATTTGTACATCTCTGTTTTAATGTATGATTTACTTTTATAAATATAAATAAAGGGATGCACCGATACCAGTTTTGCGAGTACAAGTACTGATACTTGCTCAAGTACTCACAAATACAAGTACTGATAAATTTTTATTGTCATGTGACAGTTTTTCTCAAACAATACAGATTAATGATTTCAGGACAATGGTGAAGCACCAGAGCCAGGTCCCAGCTGCAACTTCTGCAACCCTGGTAGTTCTCATGAAAATGCCAAGTATCAGCATTGGTACTCGAAAAGTATCGGTAAATCCCTAAAAATAAGGCAGTAATTAATTTTTATTTGTATTTTTTTTTAATACTCTGTTTTAGAAATACATGCTGCATGGACTTCCTGGATTCAATATAGAAATGCCTTCAATTCTTTATCCCACTCCCCTACCTCAGTATGATGGAATTTCACCTGCAAAATCTGAGCAAAAGGAGGCAACCACATCTCGACCAACCGGGGTAAATTGTTACTGAATCTTACTTTTAGAGCATAGTGTATTCAATCTATCTGCATTGCGGTTGTTTAGCAACACAGATATAACATTGTTGCCAATGATCACATAGGGGTTCAATAAAAATGTGCTATTGAAATAAGCTAATGGGTAGACAAAAAAAAGCCAGGTGGGAAGCACGGTTATGTGATCTCAATATCTGCTCTACACTTTGTTATAAGTGATCCCCATAGGCATAGACATTGTGAAAACAGTAAAGCATGACCATTGTCTTCTGTTTTTTAAAGATTAGTTTTAGGTGCATGCTCTGGGTTTGTCCTCCACGTCTTTTCATTACTACTTGGTCAGTCACTAACCCTGGAACAAACATACAGTTAGGGCACTCAATAGTGAATTATATTAAGAGCAGAATGAGCCTCTTTCTGGGGTCCCAGACTCCAGAGACCCATGGTGATGCTAAAAAACAAAAATCTTTGCTTGATTAAGATGTATACTTTTTGCATTTCAATACTTTAAGATGTAAATATTTAGTTTTTACATCTGTTTAAAGGAGAATTATGAGGCGAGTGATTTTCACTCAGCCTCATAATCTGAGCCGACCTGTGACAATTAAACTGTCACAGGTCGGCTCAGTAGATCGGGAAGTGAGCGAACACATACCGTCGCTCTCTCACTTCTCGATCTATCCCTGCAGAGAGCCGTGACTATCACTCATGGCTCCCGGCAGGGATTCCCCCCATCCCCTGTCCGATCCTCCAGCGCTGACTGGCGAAACGGACGGGGGAGGGGGCGGGTACAGCTGGCTCTGCCTCTGGATAGGCAGAGCCAGCTGTCAATCCCGCAGCTGGGTGGATCTCGACAGCAATGTCGGGATCTGTCCCTGCTGCGGCGTCTCGGTATACTGCGAGCTGTAGCTGAGCTTTGGGTCATGGGAGAACGCTAGTTTGTGTTCTCCCGTGACCCCTAGGAGAACTATGGGGAAAAGCCCTGACCCCATAGTTCTCCTTTTAAGAGACCCGTGTTGCCTTTTCCATCATCTGTTCATCTGGCACCACATCTGCCCAGTGAAAATGTTTGATAGTAATGGATGTTAATTATGAAGTGAGTTGAAAGTACACCATCTTTGACACCATCAATGATCTCCTATCCAGCACCATTTCTTTTATGGTTTGAATTAGGGATGCACCGATGCTGGTTTTTCGGTATTGAGTACGAGTACCAAATTATTATTTTTTTTTATGTTTCGGTACTCACCGGTACCGATACTGGCACTTCTGGTAGTATAGAGCCAGCTTCTCAGGCAATCAGGAAGCCAGGCGGTGTGTCATTACCCACTGCCCAACTTCTTGATTGCCTGGGAAGCCGACTCCATTCTGTTAGGGCGGCTCGATGCTGATTGGCCGGGAAGCATACCCAAATACTCTATCGATATCAACAAACCACCCTGGGCTCACAGGACAATGCTGCAGAGAATGGCACCACTTTATTAATAAAGCCCAGAAAGCTGAACTTTGGCTTTATATTTATTTTTTTGCTTTTATTTCATGCAGAACAAAAAGAAGAAATCCAGGACTAAACAAAAGAAAATCCAGCAGGAGAATGAGAACAAGGATGGAATAGAAAGTGAATCTGGGGATGGACTAACTGCTGCTGTTGACAGATTGAAACTGTGTGCAGCAGATGGAATAAACAATCCCTACTTAACTCCTCAGAGGTCACCATTGAAAAATACTGGAAAGGATCCACCACACTCGCCATCTTTAAGATTTAAAAAATTTAACAGCAGTGACTCTGACTTTTCAGATGCTGAAGGTGGTTTACAAAGTAAAATAAGGTCAGTTTTTCATACATATTAGATTTTAAAAGTGTGTGTGTGTGTACCAGTGCCCTCCTTCCTACACGCTGTTGATTGCTGCTGACCCCATTCACACGTAGCGACATACCTTTTGCAGCGGCCGGGATAGCGCGACTTTCAGGGCGACGTTCCAGCGACGGTAGCGCGACCTTCTCCGCCGGGCTCCATAGAAAAAAAGCAAAATCCGGCGAAAAAAGGGTCCGGTAGAAGCGACCGCGACGCGCGACATGGAGTTAAGACAGCTCCATTGAAAAGCATTGGCCGGTGACTTCTCGCGATATCGCGGCGGAAATCGCGCGATCATTCGCTACATGTGAACGGGGCCTAATCCGCCATCTCCTCCACCACTTCTTTCAGGTCCACTGTGACACGCCTATGGCCATTAGGTGGCTAAATCTCCCTGGCACCCAGCTCAATTCTACTACAGATGGCCATGTATGAGCCAGAAGTGTTCACTGCCCACAATGTGTAGACACACACACACACACACACACACCTACACACACCTTGGGGAAAGATAAAAACGTTTCTCTCTAATGCCAAAAAAAACTCTACCTCCTAGCAGATTTTTTATATTTAGAGTTTATTTCCACTTTAATCTCACTTACAGGTTTTGAATCTCTAGTTGCATTTCATCCCTTTTCGGGTTCACCATTTTTTCAATTGTTGAGTCTTATCTCACATAGAGAGGTGACAACTGCCTTTTCTAGGTAAGCACTAGCAGCGTCGTCTCTAGTGTTCCTTTTAAATACTGTTCATTCCACCAATCTTTGCTTACTACATATTTGATCTTTAGCACAATTCGCTCGCTTGCACTACAAGTTTACTCGTAAGTTTAACTACTAAATCTACTTGCCTCACCTACCACAGTCTCTTAAATGCCAGCCTGCATGACGGTTTGTGACTGACTGACTGGTGCATGCTAAGTTTAGTAGTCCCCACTCATTAAAAACTCCAACCAACGAGACTCCTCAGGATTTTTTTGGAAACCCTAAACAAAATCCCTGTATAAAAGTAAAGGAAATGGTAATTTACCCTCTTGTGCATATAGCTGGTGGATAAACATGGGATAACAGATCTTTATTTACATCTTCTCAGACCCTTTTTCTTAAAGCCCCACAATAGCCAAAATGTTATTTGGTTTAGTATAAAGTGGGGAATGGAAAGAGCCTCTGCCTGTGCCTTTTTTTTTTCCTAAGCGGGTCAGGCACTATGTTTATTTCAGCCAGTTCTTGATGAACTGGCTGAAATTTGCACACTGTGTGCTGCTGTGGGCACTCTTCCAGCCATCATCCCTTGATAAGAAGATCAAAGGAACTGGATAGAAAATCTTCAGCCGAACGGAGCCTGCAGCCAATCACCTGGGTATACTGACAGAGGCTGGTATCTGTTGTCAGAATACAATGCAAACAGTAGGAGATTCCTCAATCCATGCTCATAAGCCAGAATGGAGGACTTTGTTATATTTTCCTTGTTCAGCCTGCAGGTTAAATATAACTGTGTATGACCAGCTTTAGAGACAGGATTTTGTTTTACACTGTACATAAGTAATACATTTTCCATGTGATGGTACAATATATTTCTGTAATGTTTCTTTCATTTTAGCTGCAAAGCTTTTTTAATAATCTCTTTGACCTGATGTCGGTGACTAATGGGAATCATGTCCAGCAGGAAAGCGAATAATTCCATTAGGGCTCCTAATCCTATGTTTTTTTTTTAAATTTTGCAACATCCTTAGCTGTGTGCTGCCTCAATGGAAAACATCTTTGGTCAGGACTTATAGTGGTTTAAACCTTGACAAATGCTTGTTTTAACTAAATGTTATAATCTGCCTTTCAGGCATCCTTAGTCCTTTACTGTTGCAGTTGTACAGTTTGAGGCTATAACGGGTGGAACTTGTCAAAGATAATTATGCCTGGCCTAGTAACTTGCTGTAAACAAAATCTTTTTCTGTTTTAGGTAAAACATTGTAGCAATTTGTCGTAGGTTTTCTCTTGACTAGCGGGAAACAACAGAGTTGTTCTAGCCAGTAAGTGTGGATTTTTTGTTCACTAGAAAAAATCAGTAAGGCATCAAGAGAAACTCACTCAGTGGGTGGCCTTGCCTGCTGCTCCCCACGCGACATACTTTGAATGGAAAAATAAAGGAGCCGGGCAGAAAATTGTCAGCTTAACAGCATCTGCATGCAGTCAGATACAGGCACTGCTAAGGTATTTTGACAACTGGCTGGGCCGGCTGTTTAGCATGGATGGGGGAATTGGTTAGATTCTTTATGTTCAACCTGAAAACTGAAGGAAGAAAAGTCTACTCGTGTATACCCAGCTTAAAGGAACACTAAACTCAGGAGTTAAATCCTAAAAATGTATTCAAGCACCTTAACTATTAACAAAATGTATCTTATTTATTTATCACCCAGTTGTAGATCCTCAAATCACCTCTGAATGCATGCCGACTCTGTCCTTCCTTCTGGAGGGGGGCTACTTTTGTTCCCCATGGTCTCTGTGTGTTGTAGCTACCGCTCCATGCTCACTCCCGTGATGGACTACAATCTCACATTTCGTTTACTAATTTGAGTGAGCTTGGAGCGGTGGCTACTTCACCACACACACAGGGACCATGGGGAATAAAAGCAGCCAACCCCAGAAGGAAGGACGGTATTGGGATGAATTCAGAGGTGATTTGAGGGTCTACAACTGAGTGATACACAAATAAGATACAGTTTTGTTACTAGTTAAGGTACTTGAATGCATTTGTAAGCTTCAACTCCTGATTTGAGTGTCACTTTAAGGCTACATTGGTGATTAAGCCAGATACTGCCAGTACAGTGCAAACGGGGTTGAATGGAGTAAGCGTAACTTTGCACAGCCCCCTCTCTAACAAATAGCAAACTTAAAATGGGTGTCATCCCAATTTGACTGCAAAAGGGGAACTACACTTTAACCGCCTCCCGGCTGGCCATTGCTCCCTGGATCTGAGCGGGCCACGGCCACTCACGCTTTGTAAAATGCCAGAATGTACAAACGGGCAGCGATTCCTGTTTGCATACAAGAAGCGATCCGCCGACTATAGAGCTGGCGGATCGCTTGTATACCGAGCCAGTGTGTGCGCCCCTCCCGCTGGTCCTGGGTATCGCTGTACCCGGTGAGAGCCCGGGACTAGCATGGGAGCTCTGTGACAGGAGATCAGAGGGAGATCGGTACATGATCTCCCTCTGGTCCCCTCTCTGGTGTTAGAATGCGGAAGTGATGTATATTACATCACTTCTGCATTTTTGTGTCACTCTCCAGCTTCAGAAGCAGATCTGTGCTTCATCAGCTTCTTTGGGGGATCCTAGGTGACATTAGGGGTCTTGGAGACCCCCTGATGTCTCCATAAAGAGGACCTGTCGCATCCTCTTTGCTATCACATAGGGGGGGGTTCTTATCCCCCTATGTGATAACAATAAAGTTAAGTGAAAAAAAATGAAAGTTGCAAAAACAAAATTTTAAGTCATACATGAAAAAGAATAAAAACACAATTTTTTTTAAAAAGCACTCACCCATGCACTCGCGCGTGCAAACATGCCTCGGGTGCGAAAACGGCATTGCGCCCATTACGCCGCACATGTTGCATATCGCTGCGAACGTCGCAGCGAGAGCAATAATTATAGGGCCATTAATCACTGATAACACTAAACTGATGAGTGGCAAAAGCTTTCAAAGCATCGCTTATGGTCAATTTTGGGTATGGTAGTTTTTTGCGTTTTCGCGGGTGGGCACAATTTTAAAACTTTACATGTTTGGTGTCTATTTACCCGACGTGACCCCGACTTTTATATTTTGCCAACATTCCATTGCTGCAGTGGAGGAGGAGGCACGTTGGAGGAAGCGCTTGGAGCATCAGGTGAGTTTAACTTTATTTTCCTCCCTAGACCACAACAAGCAAGTTAACCTTTGCAGTGTGGGGGTAGCCCCACTGCAAGGGTTAATAAACATTTTCCGTGGAGTTCCACTCTAAATTTTATGTTTGTTTGTTTTTAAATGTGTGTATTTTTTATGAAGTTATATAAAAACAAGAAAACAAATGGGACACAAATAAAAATGTTTATATTTGAATGGGGGGAAAATGCAAAAATGGTAAGACTGGAAGAGAGGAGTTAATAAGAGCTAATGATAGTTAACTAATGGTTAATACCTGGTTAAACAGGGGAAAAATAAAAACCTCATCAAGGTCTATTGTAATAGTCTTTTTCCAATGCATTTATACACAGTTTGCAGAAGTCATTCACACGAGCACTAATGGCCATATTTGAAACACACAGGAGGCTATGGCTGTCAAACATCCAGTGGAGCCCTGAAGATAACACAAGGAGATACTTTCCCAGTGTAATCTGCAGGTTCTGCTGTTATTCTTGGCAGCCAAATCCTGCTCGGGAGCGGCTTTCATCGCTACTCTCCACATGTAATCAGCAGGACTCGGCTGGCAAATTGACCACCAGGTCATGCTGTGCTTGTGGAGGACTGGAGAACTCAGTCTGACAGCTGTATGTATCAGGAGTAGGTAAAGAGTGATGGCTAAATCCTACTAATTACGATGGAGACTGTGTCCCAAGGTAAGGTGTCCTGGTTCAGCCTGGCTTTCCTCCTCGGGGCTATGAAAATGAAGATCGGTGCATGGAGCCAAGCAGTTTGGAAACAATTGTCATATCTATAATATCTTGCTTTGCATTGTTCACTTATTGTAAATGCAGCATGTGTACAACTGGTAAAAGTTTATTTGATTTTATATTTGCAATTAAAATTCAACACCAGAAATGTAAATCATTCATCTACATACCAACATATGTTTTTGTTTCATTAAAGGTCTTTCCAAGCTAAAGTTCGACAAGGGGCAATATCCTGCTTTCTGTCTACAATAAAATCCATTGAAAAGAAAGTTCTTTATGGTTATTGGTCAGCCTTCGTCCCTGATATGCCTGGTTTAGGAAGTCCACAATCTGTGTCTCTAATGACAGTTATACTTAAAGACTATTCTCCAAAGGTATGCATGGCTTATAAAAAAAACAAAAACCTTCACAAACTTTTCCAGTAGCTACATCTGAAATAATATAATTTCTCTCCCGTTCATTGAAGGACACAGGGCAACAGATCGTAGATCCTGAATGGTAGGGTATATCGCCACCTGCAGGAGTAGGATCTACAATCTGTTGCTCTGTGTCCTTCAATGAACGGAGAGAAAGGGATTTTACGGTGAGAACAAAAATCCTATTTTTTCCAATATAAAAAATGTAAATGGGCATATTACCTCCTATTAAGATGTCAGTTTAGGTGCTGAGGAACCCTCTTTTGATTAATTTAAAAGCAGTCCATCACATTTTATTTTCTGTGCTGCATCCAGGGGCAAGCCAGTTTGATACTGATTGCATATGTCTTTTGGTTAAATGTTCTACAGTTTCCCACCTTTTTACATTTTTTTTTTTAACAGTAATATATTTATGCTTTTAATTATCTTTCAGACTCGTGCTTGTGCATTACAAGTTCTTTCTGCCATATTGGATGGATCAAAGCAGTTCCTTTCTGTTGCTGATGATGCAAGTGAATATAAACAAGCCTTTACACCGTTTTCAGTCACCATTGCCTCAAGTATAAGGGAACTGCACAGATGTCTCCTTCTAGCAATGGTTGCTGAGTCTTCAGCGCAAACACTCACACAAATCATTAAGGTTTGTATGTATGCTCGTTTAGTAGCACAGTAAAATGTGTTCAGAATAAAATGTCTCTTATCTAAGGGTAGACATGGTGAAATCTAATTAGAATAGAGTTATATATTTGAAGAAGAACTCTGTGTAGAAATTGTATTTACCCTTGCCGTGGGGCTACCCCCACACCTCAAGTGTTACTGCTCACTTTTGCCTAGAGTATGACTTTTTTTTTACTTGCATGATCCTCGGAGTGGGCTTCTCTCCCCCAACGCTGCAGCAGGATCCTTGAGTCAACAGGTCTAATATAGTGTTTAGGATGTGAGAACGCCGAGGTACATACCATCAATGGGGGGAGCGCTGCCGGCTCCAAGGATGAGGTGAGTGTAACTATTTATTTATTTATTTTGACCCTAGACAAAAAAAAGAGCAGTTAACCCTTTCAGTGCAGGTGTAGCCCCACTGCAAGGGTTAAGAAAATTTCTGCCCTGAGTTCTTCTTAAAGATCAGTCTTGTGTCTCAACACAGCAAAGATACATTGTTTATACTGACAATTCTTTCTAACTGAAACATGTAGTAGCAAAATGTGTTAACGTAATGTCAGTGAACATTTATGCTATTGCAAAGTATGGCTTTATTACAGTTTTTACAGAAGCTTTTCTAAAGGTACTTGTAAACATCACACGCTTGTTGGATGGACTAATCAACTAGTAGTATTCCGTTCCTCCCAACTTTCTAAGAAGGGAAAGCGAGAAGTTGTTTAGCACAAAGTATGTAGGCAAAAGACACACCCCTGCTATGCCTCCTGTTTGCGTACCATGAAGACCTAAAGTGGTATTAAACTCAGTTTTTTTTATTTTTATAAAATCAATGCAGCTATATAAGACTTACTGTAGTCCATGTGTGTCTCTTCGATCTGTGCAGATGTTTCTTTTAAATCCTCTTTCTTCTTTGTGCTGATCAGGACTTCTGTTCTGAGAGTGACTCCATTCTCTTGCCGTGTCTGATGCATTCAGAGGCACGGCAGATGCACAGGCAGCCTGATGTCTGGTGGAACGCCTCCTCTTTTGATTGACAGCTGCTCTGTTATAGTGTTCAATTCTGGTTGGCTGGTTGTTTCACATAGTAAAATAGCACAGTCGACCATTTCAAGCAGGGTAGGTAATCTAAACCGTGTTTTAGGTATTTATTTTTTGATAGACTTTTGTTTTATCTATTTGCAAGTGAACAATTTTACTTTCTTGCTAATTGTTCACCTGCAATGTATTGTATCCATATGTGCACCGAATTCACATAGATCACTTTGTTGGATGTCGTGATCGGAGGACATCGTGATTGATGCAGAGTTTAAAACTGGATGCCATTCATTTGAATGGCACTGCATATGCAGCTCCTGGCTGCAATTCGCTCACCCGTGACGCAATATGCAGTAACGCAATAGCGTGCCTTGCAGTGCGTTTGAAAAAGTAATGCATTAACTAAGCAACCCACCACAACAAAGGGTATTGAACAATTAGCAAGAATTTAAAATTAATATATTCAAATTGCACTGCGCTATAAAGTATAATTGTATCAATCTCCTCCAAAGTTTCCTAATAAATAAAACCTTATGTTTGGTGTTTAAAAAAAAAAGTGCCGATCTATAGATCATTTTAACATGTATCCAAATCACCGTTGTGGAAAAAGGAACAATAGCTATATCAGTCCAGTGTATATAGTATTCAACGAAAAGTTTACAAAACGTAGTCTATCGAAAAATAAATGCCTAAAACACTGTTTAGATTACCTATCCTGCTTGTAATGGGTGACTGTGCTATTTTACTATGTAAAACAACCACCAAAGCAGAATTCAACATGACATGGAAAAGAAAATAGACTGAAGATTGTTCCACAGTCTATGTACATTATAAATACAGCTTGTGAAAAAAAAGAAAAGAGCTAGTCTGGGGAGAGATGACTCTCACTGAGACACTAACACTGAGCAACTGTCAATCAAAAGAGGAGGCGTTCCTTCAGACATTAGGCTGCCTGTGCATCTGCCGTGTGCCTGAATGCAGGGAGGCAGACTCCATCAGACACGGCAAGAGAATGGAGTCACCCTCAGAAGGGAAGTCCTGGCCCGCACTAAGAAGAAAGAAGATTTGAAAGAAACTGCTGCACAAAATGAAGAGAGACTCATGGACTACAGTAAGTCTCGTATAGCTGCATTGATTTGATAAAAAACAAAAACTGAATTTAATATCACTAACTCCCTTTTGCCACTACTTTCCTATAAACTGTCTATTCAAAATAAGAAATGCAAGATCAGCCACAGATATACTCTAGGAATAATATTTATGAACTAACCTTGTTACATGTACGTACTCTGACTCATTAAAAGCAAAATATAGAAATATCTGCAATACATGCACATTTCCAAACGTTTATCCCATTTCTGTATGTACAGAAAAATAATTGTTGATCTGCAAGAAATGCACTCCGCTCTTAAGCCCTCTTGTGAACTGACAACATATTGTGTTTTTGTTAACTGACTGGTATCAGCTCTCCTGATGTCTTTTACTAAACTACTCAACCACTCTTACTCTCAGATCTCTATTACATAAAGGCTAGTCACTCTGTATTCCAAGATGGGAACTAGGAGGGTTCTTTTGGGACAACACACAAAGTGTGCAGAGAACACAGAACAGCTCTGCATTTCTGATGAGACCAACTGGTTGTTTTTTTTTTGTTTTTTTTCTGTACTTGTCAAACTGATATAACAAAATGTTTCCAATGCATATTTAACAGCCCAAAAGAAAGCAGATGAGAGAATTTATTTTTTTAGGGCTTAGATACACTTTAAATATAGTTTGTATAAAACGGTCTTTGTTAAGTCCATACTGTGATGTATTAAGGCAGTTCTATGTTTATTGTATACTCAATTATAACTGTGGGCTTTACTTCTTGAAGCAGGTTTTCAAAGAAAGCATCACACAACAGTAATTTCTTTCTCCTTTTAAAAAAACATTTCCGTAGATGATGTAACATGGATGAATGTCTGTCTTTTTGTGTCGGCTCTTAAAAAATAGCTTGCAGCATTAAAGGCAATCGGGAAGCTAAATAAACTATAGAAGGGCTACTTTTATTTCTTCTACCCAGTATTAAGAGATGCTCTGAACATAATGAACACATTTTTTTCTTTTGGCCTCCAGGGTAAACGGGTTAACTGATGGGGGTTTAGGTGGCTTTCACAAGAGACAAGACAGTTTGATATTAAACATAAAATTCAGCATCCTTTCAGTCTGACCTCGTTTTATTTCCCATAGAGGATTGCATTTCTTAACTGCCCTGAGGAAAAGAATTAGCAAGGTCCTCTACAAGCTGATTATTTAATTTCTTTTATGGAAAGATCCATTTTGTCTAGCTGACCTCTTCTGTTTGTCAAGCTGCTTTTAATTGAGAGAAATCGGTATGGGGAATACAATGTCCTCTACCTTCAGTCTGATAGGGAGATTATGTTTCAATTTATTTTATATAGCACCTACAGGCATTAAATTTATCGTCCTTTGAGAGGAGCGCTTTTGGCAAGTTTCATGATTATTGAACATATTATGATGATCACAAGAGATCTGTGTTGTCGGTACATCAGCAAAGCATTGCAGTATTTCCCTACAGTCCAAATGTATTTAAGTGTAGGTATAGCCAAAACAGAGTAGGAAAGGGGTAAAACCTCTTGACAGTTGTTTTTTTTTTTTTTTTTTTTGTTTGTTTTGTACAATTTACCATTGGGAAAATTTCCATTCACTTCCTGTTCCAGGGGGCTAGAGGAAGTTAGAAGAAATCTTCCAAAAGTGACAGGAATACCCCTCTTTGACAGCTGTTCCTGGAAGCGGTACACCCATTAGAAGATGTCACCTTATCTTTTTGTTCTGGGGATAACTCTAAAATTTTGGATTTCCCTTCACTTTCTAGCTAAAGGAAAATGTTCGCCAATACAAATAGAGAGGGTTAATCTCCCCAATGGGGTCACAGATGGCAATAAAAACCTGACCCATAATAATTTATTTAGATATTATTATATGTATTTATTTAGCGCCGACAAGTTATGTAGCGCTATACATAGTGCATATTCACATCAGTCCCTACCCTCAAGGAGCTAAGGCCTTGGTTCTCAACTGGTGGGTCGTGACCCAAAAATGGGTCGCAACCCCATGTTCAGTGGGTCGCCATGTGCCTTCCACTTTTCTAGGTGAGAGGCTTTTCAGCGTCCCCCTAGCTCAGCACTGTCCATTCTCGCGCCAAGCAGCTCATGCTGCTCAGCGCCGTGTTTCAGCTTGAGGTGGAGTGGGCAGGAGCTACAGCTGCGAGGCAGCTCCATCCATACGTGCATTGCTTACAGCTTCCTTGCATGTCCTGTGGTGGTGCTTGGACCGGAGTGACGTCACGTCTTGGCTCCTGGCACCTCTACAGGGCACGCAAGGGAGTTGTACAAGCAATGCACATATGGATGGAGCTCTGTCACAGCACAGCAGCCCACACTGGACCCCAGATTGAGGATCCACTCTTGTTCTCGTAAGGTAGGGAGACTGGGTGGATCTTTAAAAATCTTGGATCTTGGAGTGTATATGTGTATCTGTGAGATTGTGGTTGTGTGTGAGATTGTGTCTGTGGTTGTGTGTCTCTGTTTTTGAGGGCCTGTTCACACCAGTACAGAGAGTTATCTAATAATGTCCAATGCGATTAATGCACTGTACAATGCAATTGCACCTACTACGCGTTCTGGTGTGGTAGGTGCGTTGCATTGCCATTCATTTGAATGGCAATCCAAGCACACCTCCCACCCATAGTTCAATCCCCCGCACCAGAACTCGCGGTAACGCAATGCCTACGTTCCATTGCCGTGCGCCTTGGGTCGCAACTTAATGACCAAGAGGTTATGGTCCTGAGGTTACGCAGGTTGAGAACCACTGATCTAGGGTACCTATCTCACATGCATACATACGGGGCTGCTTTAGACAGGAGCCAATTCACCTTCCAACATGCCTTTGAAGTGTGAGAGGAAAGCGGTATACCCGGAGGAAACCCACGTACCCTTCCCCATTTTTTTTCATAAGGAAAAATAAATGTTGCCTAAGCATACTTTTATATTTTTTTTTTATACAGCACCGTACAGTCTCGGGCACTTTCTCATTTACCGTGCTAGCAGTCACTGATGCATATCTCTTCTGACAGACCGCAGAGTTAGGCTGGCCATACACCTATAAAGCGTTCAACCCGCTGTTTACATTGTATGCTGACACCTGTCAGAATACCCGATCAGAGCGGGGTGGCACATTGGTTGCGGGCTCTGAACGATCGAAAATTTTCCAGCCGGCTCCTTCGATCAGCTCAAAATGGTAGTCACCTTACTGTCACACTGCCCCTCTTGCTTCAGAACTTCGAGCTACTGACCTTGGACAAGTGCACACATAAGGAGTTTGGACTTTACTCTCACTTTCTTAGTGTACATGCATGCATTAAATCCAGTAAGTCAGCATTACAGCCAACCAACTAGAATTTTCAGGTGGCCATCAGCAATGGTAACCTCATTATTTTTAATGTCATGACCAGTTCACCTAAAATATAACAGTATTTTAACAGGCTAGCATATTTATTTTTAGTTTATGGTGAATGGCAGTATGTCATGTATACCTATGCTAGTATCATTTTTACAATTTCTAATGTGTAAAGCATTTTATCTCATTTATTGTAGTGCCTTGCAAACTTGGTAGCAAATGCTCCTTATCATCGTATGAAGACAGGTCTACTCACTAGAGTTTGGAACTACGTTAAACCTTATATCCACAATAAAGGTGCGCAAACTTTTCTCTCATACAACATTGATAATGTGTTCCATATTTAAAAATAATATTTCATGTGGTTGCATCTTGAAAGGTATTTTCAAAACAAAAACAGTTTTTTTTTTTTTTTTTTTGTCATTGTGCACCTTGTTCCATTCATATTGAACAGGTTCCCCAATGGCTTGTGAATTCTAGGTAATCCACTGCACTTCACAAGTGCAGGAAGATTTTGTGCAAGTCCTCGCAAAGCTCTCCCCCTCCCAACTCAATCAGTTGTACTAGCAGCTACATGTAAGAGGCGTTGTGAATGCCCCAGTTGTAACTGTTTGGGTTGGGAGGGGGAAAGTTTTGTTAGGACTTTGACGAACTCGGTTCGCACCAAGCTCACGCACATACCTAGTAGTCAGTGAGTGGAATAATGCCTCTTTACAGATGGCTAAAAAAGATCATTGGTGTCTCTGAGCTGAGAGCTCAAGGGAGACACTCCACTGATTCCACACCACTGGCTTTGCCGCATGACACTGGCAGCAGGACTATGCAGGCACCATTGAAATGTATTTAAATAAATATTAAACATTATGATATTTTATCACATGTGTTCTCTATTATATTTGTATTGACCTATTAATATATTTATTGTTGTAGATGTAAATGTTCGAGTATCGGGCCTTACATTGTTGGGTGCTATTGTCTCTGCTCAAGTACCACTACCTGAGGTACAGTTACTACTGCAGCAACCAGTTTCAGTGCAACCAAACGGTGGTCCTAGCACCATTACACGGCTCAGTGATCTTGACTGGTGGAGAAAAGAAACCTTTCCAGAGCTAGAAATGAGCGAAACCAATCCTCAAAAGCCACAGGCTGAGCCATGCTGGCTAGTACGTTTGTGCATTTCACTAGTGATTAATCCAAGGGAAGACTCCTATTCTGACAGTGATGTCAGCTCTGCCACGACTCTCCAGTATGAACCCTCTCCTGTCCGCTTGGAAGCACTTCAGGTATGACCCTCTGTCTGATTACCAAGAACATTTGTACTTAAAGGATGAATCCACCCAGTTTGGATAGATGCATATGGTTTCATATATCGCTCAAGGACTCTTTGCTTTGGTTTTTGGGTCTGCACATCTGCCATTATGAGAGTACACCTTTTTTCCCTCTAATTTTTTTTTATATTAAGTATAATGTGATAGGTGCTGGAACATGCAGTTGGGTGGGAGCACCTAAAACTCTAAGGTGGACAGAAACAGGGTCAGTATTTATGGCAATGAGTACTTGCTGCTGAATTGCCCCACACGTATCAAGCTTGGACCTGACTCATTGGAGCCCACCATGCTCCATTTATAACATAGCTACTACTTTTGGGTGAAATTACCTTTTTGAATTGATATAATTTCAAGAAGGAAATGTGAATTTTACATTTAGGTTGCTTGGATACGATTATCCAACTTTAACCAATGGTTCATCAGATTTTATCATACTAAAATGCTGGACATTTATAGGTAAGCTGCAGCCAGTGGTGGACTAAGTGTACCTTGGGTCCAGGGTTGTTTTCAGTTTAGTGCCGCCTAGTACAGGAGTGTGGTTTTATATAAAAGCGGCAGGCGAGAGGCCTACAGTTAGGTGTCACAAGTGAGGCAATCAACTGAATCCCCTAGCACACTATCCGAATTACACTTTCAGTTGTGCCATGTAGGTTGCAAAGACATTGCTACAGATTTTATGCTATCGGGTGCACCACATTGCCAAAATTGTCATGCTACCTGCTTCATTACATTATGCAGTGGCACAGGTGTGTGCCACTGGGAGGTGGGCAACTGCTGTAATGCAAATCTACCACTGACTGCAGCATATGCTATGGTGTGTAATACCTAGCTGTATACCTTTTGGCTGGCAAGCAAACATTACCTAGTGGTACTACATATTGCTAGGTCCCTGCACATATAATTTACTTTAGTTTTTATATCTGTTTTTTTTCTTAAGATCCGTTTAGATTATTTTCAAATCTTCTCCATATAAACACACTAATATATGTTTAAACTTTGCTTTCTATTCAGGTGTTGGCTTGCCTGGTAAAGGGATATTTCAATATGGCACAGAGCTATCTCATGGAGTTGGGAGAAGTCGCTTGTAAATGTGTGCAAGAGATGGATGCATCGATTCAACTTCATGGTGCTAAGGTAAAGTGGGTTCCAATTTTTTTGTCAACTTTGTTATGTGAAAAAGCACAAATTGGGTATACTTTTGCTTTACTTTTGCTTTAAGTCTTTCAAAATCTGTGTGTGTATGTATGTGTATGTATATATATATATATATATATATAATATACATACATACATTTTTTTTTATGGGTTCTTTTATAATATTTTTGTATATTTTAAGCTTTTGGAAGAGCTGGGAACTGGAATTGTTCAGCAGCAGAAAACTGATTTGTTAATCCCTGCTGAAAAGAAAGTGACTGTTAGTCAGGTAAGTGTTTCATCATAGTGTTGACTTTCGCTAACAATACTTCTTCTTCTTTCTTCTTCTTCTTTCTTCTTTCTTCTTTTTTTTCTTTTTTCTTTTCATAAGACAAACCGCTACATATATCTGAACTGTTTTACTGCTAATATATTCATAATTATGTTCAACTAGTCCTGTGATCCATGCACCCATATCAGACAGCAAACAGGTTGGTGACCTCATTTTTCTCTACTAAAGTTAAATGATAAAGATTGGTCAGTGAACACCCCCAGCTTGTTCACAAGGAAGGAAGATCACCACACTGATAGGATCATCATTCACTTTACCCTATTCTCTTTTTTTTTTGCAGCAAGCTTTACATGTGTGAAGAATGAAAGGGTTTGTTTTTATTAACTCACGGTGGAGCTGTATATGAGAGTATATCTTTTTTTATTCAGGCTGTAGCATTTTGGAACATGATTCTGAGTGGTCCTTTACCAGCTGCCTTGCAAAATGAGCAACATCCTACCCTTCAAACAAGTGCCTGTGATGCTTTATCATCTGTCTTGCCAGAGGCATTTACCAGTCTACCAGTAAGTATATGTGAATGTTAACAGTAAAACGTTTGTTTCTCTAGCTTCAGCCGGATTGTGCAGCCTTTGGTACTTGTTTTAACCTCTTCAGTTCTTGCACCTGTACACCCTTTATGGACCAGAGCAATTTGTAAATTTCTGCTATAGACCTGTTTGGCAATATCTTTTCCATTACTTAAAGGAGAATTATGAGGTGGGTGATTTTTACTCAGACTCATAATCTGAGCCGACCTGTGACAATGAGACTGTCACAGGTCGGCTCAGTAGATCGGGAAGTGAGTGAACACATACCGGCGCTCGCTCACTTCTCGATCTATCTGTGCAGAGGGACTGGATTGCCTCCTCCCCTGTCCGATCCTCCAGCGCTGACTGGCGGAACGGATGGGGGAGAGGGCGGGTACAGCTGGCTCTGCCTCTAGATAGGCAGAGCCAGCTGTCACTCACGCAGCCGGGTGGATCCGGTCATAATTGTCAGGATCTGTTCTGGCTGAGCTGTAGCTCGCGGTGTACTGAGCTTTGGGTGACGGGAGGACGCTAGTTTGTGTTCTCCCGTTGCCCTTAGGAGAATTATGGGGAAAAGCCCTGACCCCATAGTTCTCTAAGACAACAAAGTAATTCATATATTTTTTTATTTTTTTTTCAGGAAAAACAAAAGTTACTTTTGGTTATAGTGTCTTGCAAAAACTATTTTATTTTGTATGCAATCTGTAGACAAAAAATGTAGCAAAATGCACTCTTAATGGTTAAAAAATAGAAATGACCAAAAGATCAGCAGGAAAAAAAACAGATAAGGGAAGGAGGAGTTAATTAGGACTAGTTAGGTAAACTCAGGTGTTAAATCTTAAACATGCTTTCAAGTACTTTAACTATTAACAAAAATGTATCTCATTTGTGTATCACTCAGCTGTGGATTCTCAAATCGTCTGTGAATTCATGCTGATACCATACTTCCTTCTGGAGGGTGGTGTGTGTGTGGTGTGTGTGTGTGTGTGTGTGTGGGTGTGTGTGTGTGTTGTAAAGTAGCCATTGCTCCAAGTACTCATACAAGAATAGGATCCCTTGACTCTGCTGAAAAAAATGAATAGCTGTGATCAGTGATTCACTCTGCACCACCGCTGCCACCCGATAATTACAGATCCTTTCTGCAGCTGCGATCTGCTGTGTCCCCTCTGATTCCGCTAGAGAGAGCAGAGAACAACAACTAAATTTAATAAAGACCTCGCCTATAAGGAAAGATGATTTTAACTGAATTTTTTTTCTTCCTTGTGAAGAGACTATGATCACCTTTTTATACAATTACAAAAATGATCTACATCAAGGGTAGCCAAACTTCAACCCTCCAGCTTTGGTGAAATTACAAATCCCATCATGGATCTGCTTCTGAATGTCATGCCTGTGGCTGTCAGAGTCCTGCAATGCCTAATAGAATTAGTTGTTACACCACAGCTGGAGGGCTTGAGTTTGGCTACCCCTGGTCTATATATTAAACTTGGTTGAAAGTTGTCTTTTGCAGGCCATTGTAAATTAACAAGGGGGCATGCTCTGCACCTGGAAGAAAAGAGGTTTTAGCTCTGCTTATGGAAAGGGTTCTTTAAAATGTGAAATAGACTTCCACAGGGGTTAGTTCTAGCTAACTCAGTAGATTGCTTCATAAAGGCGCTGGGTGTGTTTCTAACTGCACAAACTATAAATGGATATTACTATTTATAAACCATAACATTCTAGATTGCTGATCCAGGAAGTATATTATTGCTTTTGCAATATTGGATTATGCTTAAATAAGTTTTTTTTTGTTTTTTTTTAACTTGGGATCAGCTGCAGGTTTTGGATTCTGCAGTTATAAGGATTTTAACTTTTGTATTTTGGCTTAACTGGATTCACATGTCTTTTTTTCAAACTATGTATAAAAATGTGCTCTAATTAAGGGTTAGTTCACACCTTCAGCAGTGCGTTACGGTCCACATTGTGGCTGGCTCCCTATTTTGCTGGGCAGGAGTGGGCGTGGCGGGCCATTGAAGTGAATAGCACCGTAGCCACACCCTGCGGCTGCAATGCGGTCGGCCACACAGCAACCGCAAGGCACACTGTGCCTGCAGTGCGTTTTGTGCGGTGCATTCAGAATAGTGCTTGCAGCATTTTGAACGCACTGCAGGAACAATGTGCCGTGCGGGCGATTGCATTGCGGCCGCAGAGCATGGCTACGGTGCCAATCACTTCGATGGCCCACCACGCCACCTCCTGCCCAGCAAAATAGGGAGGCGGGCAGTGCATTCCGGTCCGGAATCGGACCAGAACGCACTGCTGATGGTGTGAACTAACCCTAGCAATCTTCCAATTTCAGGATGACTGTCAGATACTTTGTATAACACTTATGCTTGGCCTGAACCACAGTGAAAATCCTCTAGTGAAGGCAGCAGCTGCACGAGCTCTTGGTGTATATATCCTGTTCCCGTGTCTTCGACAGGTAGTGCTTCTTAATCTAGCAAGAGAAAATGTAAATAAAAGCATTATCTCTTTTAGTAACTTCCATATTATAGAACTTGCTAAACATCTGTCTTCTAAATAATACTTGTCTTGCATGGTTATGTAATTTAAAAGAGGCCATGAAGATCTTATCTTAATATTATGCTAACCATTTTACACAAAACGTGTAAAGGTAGGTAGCATCGAAAAGTGGAATAACAAGCTTTCCTACAGTAACTTTTTCACTTTGAGCTTTACCATTGTGCCATATTGACATTGACGGTTATAGTTCTGGGGTTGCCAAATTCCGTAAATGTTGGGTTGGAACAAATAATGGAAAAATACTATATGTAATACATTGGGGTAGACTACAAAGCTAAATGGTATAATGTGTGTGACCGAGACCTCTCCGAAACAAGATGAACAGGAGAGCAAAAAAAGCTCAGGGACTCAAGTGGTTAACACACTGCACATAGTGTATGTAAAATACAGCCCTGGGTACATAATGCAGCATTCAAGAGTACAACCCAGTATCACTCATCCATTTCTGCTCTTTTTGCTCTCTCTCCCCCTAAGTTGCATGCTCCTGCTTGCTCACTTAACCCATCTGCAGGCCACAGCAGGCTTTGCAAGGGGGTACTGAAAAGATAAAACACTACCAGACCTCAAAAGCAAAGCAGAGCCTGAGAAAGTCCTACCAGGCATCCCTTTAGCTTTACATCATATGACATATCAAAACCAAGAAGGAACCTGGGAGGAGTTCCCCTAGCTCTGTGCCACTTTGCTTCTCGGGTTTGTACATGCACATTACTGATATGCTGGTGCAGCGGCATGACACATAATTATACGAAGATCCCTATGTAACAGCGATATTGTGCTGAAACCTGCTTGCCTGAGGTACCTGGGTTTAGTGATGTCTTTGTCTGCTAATCTCATCCCTACCACGTTTCCCCCTCTGCAGTGATATACTGTATATATAAACTGTTATGGTTGGCAGAGTGCCATTATTTTGTATAATTTTTGTCTGTTTACCTCCCTTATAGGATGTCATGTTTGTAGCGGACTCCGCTAATGCTATTCTGATGTCCCTTAGTGACAAGTCTCCAAATGTTCGTGCCAAGGCAGCCTGGTCTTTGGGCAACCTTACTGACACCTTAATTGTTAACATGTAAGTCTTCTTCCCTTAAGGCTTTCTAGAATGTAAACTAAGTCATAGTCCATAAAAACGTGAGACAAAGACTTGTTCTTAAGCCCTTCGTGACTGACGACGTACAGTGTACGTCGCCAGCATCGGGGCTGTTTAAACAGACTCCCGGCGACTTTTGCCGCCGGGACTCTATTCTCCGTTTCAGGGAAATGATTGGGCAAAGTTTCCAAGAGGAATTTTCTGATATGCTGCTTCTGGAAATGTTGAAGTCGGCAACCGAAGCTTCTAAAGACAAAGATAAGGTTCATACATCTAAACTATCTCTAATAGAAAATAATGTGTTGTCCATACAAATTAGATAGCAATCATTTGTTTTAGCGGTCGCAAAAATCTTTTTCACCTGAGACGTAGTCACACATGCTCAACAATCATGACCGTGTTATGCTTTGAGCGCAATTTGTGTATATTCTTTTGGTTGATCAAGCTGTAGTTTTATTATCACATAATTGTATTCATTCCCACAGTGAGTAGGTCAATGCAAAGCAACAAGTTCACTACAAGGCTGGTACTTGCAGGAGCTTATACTTGCCTTTCCTTCACTCCTCTGCTGTTCCATTTACTGCCAGGAGTTAGCAGACCTGTATAAGCGCCAATTTAATTCTTGCTGTAGTGTGCAGATGGCCTACACACATAAGGACTACCCCCCTGCAATGTGATAGTGACCAATTGGCGAACACCAGCACTGTCACAGGGTGCCATCTTTTATTAATTTAGAGTTGTATGACATTTTCCCAGCTTTAGACAGGATGGAGGTGTCGGGGGGGAGCGGAAGGTTATGCTTAGGCTGTGATAGAAAATAGCACTGAACAGAATAGGGAAAAGAAGGGACCACCATTAAAAGCTACTATTTTTTTTTTTCCTGTCTTGCAGAACTTGTAACACAACGTTTAACAGATACTAACCTGTAATGTTTTTCTTCCAGGTGAAAAGTAATGCTGTACGTGCTTTAGGGAATCTGCTGCATTTTTTGCAGCCGTACCACATTCTGAAGCCCAGGTTTACTGAAAGCATTGAGAGTGCAATCAGAGCCCTTATCTCTACAGTTCTTGGGGAGAGCACCATGAAAGTGAAGTGGAATGCTTGCTATGCATTGGGAAATGTTTTCAAAAACACAGCTCTTCCACTCGGTAAGGGTATAGTTACTGCAGTGTACTTGTCATGTACAAATGTGAACTTAGAGTGAACCTGTGAGATACTTCATGTGTAATTTAAATAAAATTTGTATTTGTTCTAAGCTCCATTCCTCCCAGCACTGAGCTCCGGCCTTAACAATTACTAGTCTTGCTTCCAATGGATGTTTCTGTGCAATAAACTGTTAGATGTCAGGAGCAGTGTTTTGTGCTTGTCTGCACAGTAGAGGCGGGTATACTGCCTGGACCTAGAAACACAGCTTAATCCTTGCTCCTTGTCTACCCTGTATTTCAGGAACCCTTTTTTTCTTTTTGTTATAACACAACCCCTCAGTGTGCTTTACCTTAGTACATGTAATCCTATGGAAATAAATCCTGCATATTGGTATAAGCATTTGCAACTTCCAATATTAACTGGCAATTTCTGAAAGTTTCTGCCCCATGGCTGTGGGTACTGACAGGGTCAGAGTGATTGGTTGGTACCTTTTTTGGGTTTGCTACCAGTCTCCGAGGTCTTTTGGCTATCTTTGTATGATATTGCACTATGAGGTTTCTCACTTTTCTTGGATATTTCATTAGAAGATTGGATTTTTCTTCCCTTGGAACTTTCTTACATGCTTCTGAGGGTTGGAAGTGTAAGGCTTGGCCCTATCACTTGTAAGCCGACTGGTCTTCTGGACCCGTCTTTGTCCAGGGATCCCCTTGAGGACCTGTTCTCTTGGGAATTTGTTCCAGTGTTCTTTTTTGTTGACCACCTCACTTTGTTGGTCTTTTCCTTATCAGGTAGTTATGTTGTTTCACCTGTTCTTGGTTGTTTTTTGGTTCACAGCCTCTTGCTAGAGCAGACTTAGTGTTTATTCTCTGGCTGTGATCTCTGTCCTGGTCTGGAACATTAAGTTGTTCCTCTGTGGGCTTCCCTTGGTTGTTGGCAGATTCCCCCTGTCTTTTAGGGGCTTCACCTCATCTGTTTTAGATTGGGGTGTTGGTCCTTCTGGTAGTCCTGAATTGCATACAGTTCCTGGTCCCTTCCTGCATCTATCGGTAGCTATTATCCATTCCTCAGCTGGAATGTTTTTAGGCGTCCTGGCTAGTTCTAAATTCTGTGTGTCTCAATGGACAGGAAAATATGATTTTTCTTGGAGTATATTCAGGGACACAGATCTTATCCCTCTGTGTTTTTTGTTGGTCCTGTGTATTGCTTTCTCAGAAAACAGACATGCTGGTAGAGGAGTGATTATACAGGGACTAGCTTACAACCTTTCTGTTTACCATTTCCCAATCTCCCAAAGTTGGCAGTTTAACCCAACTGTTTCTGAATTCCTTTATCCCCGAGTAGACTCCCAAGAAAATAATTTTTAGGGTAAGTACAAAAATCATCTTTTGTCTTCCCTTTCCCAAACCAAAGTCCCTGTTTAAATGAAAAACCTAACTTCAGTTCTTATTTGTACTTAGTTTGAATCTCAATTACTACACAATTCTTATCGTACAACAGACATTTATGAACAATATTGAATCTGTTCCAATACGGAAGGTTGCACAGTATGTAGTACACACCCAAAAAATCACCTTTTTTGTTTTTATTCCATGCCTGCATTCCTCCTTCCTTATGGCATCTGTTGAGTTTCTGTATCCTGTTTCCTTTACACTCTAATATAGCTATTCCCTGCAATCCATGCCGCTGATCCGTCTGGTGTCTTTGCCTATGATCTCTCACAGTCCTCTCACCTTTACTAACATTTTCTGGATCCTAGTCAGGTAGCCTCAAATTGCTCAAAGATGAGTGCTGGTTAAGAGATACCTGTGCTGTAATCGTTTTTTATTATTTTTAAATGCTTTTATATCTCCAGCATTTAGTTTAATGAAAATTTAAACTAGCACAAATAATGTGCAGAGAGCTATTACCCATAGCAACCAAAACAAATTTTGGTTGCTATGGGTCACTGTACTTTGCACTACTCTGTTGCTTCTCTTCAGCAGGAAAGGAAGCCTAGCAGGAATTTTAGTACCATGAACCATTCTTAGGTACACATTAATTAAACGGGCACACGTTTGTTAATGGCAAAAAACAGATTTCACTGTCGCATGACTACTGTGAAAATTTGCTATAGGCCCAACTAGTCAATGTCAACCCTTGCCCAATCAAGTAATATGTCTCCAGCACTGCAGGTGTGGCTGGGTAAGCATATATGCTGGCGCGTGTTTGCAGACATAATCACTTTGCCCTGAATGTTCATTTAAAACTTCACAAGTGTACTTTATTCTATGTATTTAGGGGAAAGGATATGGTGAGGGAAGGGGCAATTGTAGCCTACACCAGACAAAAACTTTAATTCAAGGTGAACCTTATAGACATTAAGTTGGGGAGTGCACATAGCAATATGCAGTCATTTTAAAAAGGATTGTCTGGGAAATCGACCCTAGACATCCTGTATGCTCATTTAGCTTTTTCCCCAGATATGTGGCTAGAAAACAAGCCGATAACATTCAAATACATTTAAAATAAAAAAATCCAACATTAAGAATCGAATCAAAACATTATAGCATTTTGTTTAATTTTGCTTTTGGTGTGTAGTTATTAACTTAAAAGGAGTAGCCACTCAAGTTACCAGTAATAATGGTTTCTATTTCCTTTCTGTACCAAAGTGGTGATGTATGATGAGGTACTGTAATCAATCCAAGATAACTGACATTGGTTTCTGTTGCAGGTAAAGCTGTGTGGACTTCCGATGCTTATCATGCACTCACTACAGCTGTGAAATCATGCAAGAATTTTAAAGTGCGGATTAAATCGGCAACAGCTCTCGCAACACCTTCCAAAAGAGAACAGTATGGAACTACTGAACAATACAGCGAAATCTGGAATTCTTTAGTGACCGCGCTAGAGAAGAGTGAAGAGACCGAAGATTTTCTGGAGTTTAAATACTGTGCTAGCCTCCGTGGACAAATATGCCAAGCTTTGATACACATGCTAGGCATGGCAAGCTTAGGAGATCTACCATGCATTCAAAAGACTGTAGTGCAGAAAGGAAGCCTGATCAGGAATTACTTAGTACAGTATGTGAAATCCGGAGCAGATGAGAATGAGACGCACACCGACAGGGAAAAAGTATTTCGGAAAGCAACAGATCATATATGCAGTATACAAGAGGACCCGTTAGGTAGAAAGGTTATTGCTGAGGTTGCTTTCCTTCAAGACATATTACATAGTTGTGAAAAAGAAATAGACGCTTAAATTGAACTTGAGCTTTGTGCACACAGGACAAAGCAACAGGTTCACTTTAATATATAGATATAGCTATATCTATATATATATATATATAT